CACAGCTTTGTAACCCTACGAGTACCACTCCCACACTGTCTGTCCCAGGAAGCTCTGTTTCATAAGGGCTGTCTTGCCCTTTGAGGGAGCTGGGATCTGCCAGGAGTACAGGTACCTGCTGCTTCCTTAATGGAGTTGAGGAAGAATCAGGAAGGCCAACATCTGGGCTGTCCACTCAACCACTGTAGGGTCTCAGCTGTTCTGTGAGCACACAGATCAGCAGCTGAGCTCTTTGTTAGGGACTGTCTGGTAAGTCCTTGAACCCTGAGGTTCTGCTAGCTCTGCAGGAAAGGGGCTGGTGTATGTATGTGTGGAGTGAGGAGGCTGCTGAGGGAGAAACGCTCAGTCCTGTGAATATTTCTGATGCAGTGTCCAATCCCTCCCCCCCAGCACCTGACTTTGGTATTCTTTGAAAGAATACAGCCAGTTGCAATGAAACTGACCTAAGAATGGTTTCCTGCATTAATTGCAAGCACTTTTATTTATTGCACTTAAGCTGTTCTTTTCCCCTTCAGCCCAGCACTTTATTATATAGGGTTAGGGGAGAAAGCACTTCACAGCAGGTATGCTGTGGACTTTTCCCAGTGGATGTTCTTAGGGCAGTGGAGGACTCAGGGTACCAGTGTTCTGATGAGCACTGGTGTAGGGGAGAGTGAAGGCTATGGTGGGATCATTCTGTGCAGGATGAGAAAATACATAGCTGAGTGATAAGCAGATGCCAATCAATGCATTTTATATGGAGCATAGGAAAGATTAGCTCAGGACTGGTTGATTAAGGCAATGTGTAGATCTAGTGCTTCTAGGTGCAGAGCACAGACCCACGTCAGCAGCAACCTGGCTACCTTCATCCTTCAGCAGAGGCTTCCTGTATCCAGAAGACATGGGATAAAGCCAGGACCTTTTGCTTGTCTCAGTGCTCAGCCAGAGGAGCCAAGCTGTAAACAGTGGTGTGCTGCTCTTAAGACTAGCAGAAGCATGCTCTTTTCCATCAACATAAACCTCTGCATTGTCAGTTCCAGCACCTTTGCTTGCCTCTGGAAACAGGAGTCATATTCCAAATACACAACAATGAGCATTTCATGGTATGTTCCCAGTTTGGCCACAAACAAGGTGAAAGTGTACTGATTCCTGCTTAGCCTTCAGCACAACAGCAAAAATTAAACTTTTCATCTTATTTTTATCAGCACTAAAAAAGATGTTTAAAACAGTCCCACTAACGATGAACTGGCCAGTCTGCACTCAGATACCTTGTGTTTCCATTAGGATTTTTGGTGCAGGGTGTAAGTTGGCTGCCTATGTCATCATCTTGTATAAAGGTTGTGGAGACTACTGCCTCTGTAGCATGCAGATCTGTCTTTCTGACAGAGCTGGATAACAGCTGTCCCTCTCATGTTAGCGGTGCAATAATCCTGACAGTAATGTGGGCTAGTGCCTTTTCTTCGTTAATTATATTTATGAAGAAAACTTAAAAGTTTCTTCTGAAGAGATCTGAGGGGTTTGAGTTGTCTATTTTTGGATCAAATTTGGGCCTTGCTCAGAAGGAAGACTATTTGTGCAGACTATTTGTGGAATTCTGCCAATATAGATCGTTTGACAAAATCTAATCGAGTTTTACAGATATTTCAGAGCACCTTGAATTTCTTCTCGCTAGGAAAAAAATGTATTTTTATCCTGCATGAGGAGCAACACTTTTAGAATATACTTTGTGCTAGTTGCAGTGTAATCATGAAACAGCCCAACTTTTTCCAAAGTTTAAACTCTCTCAATTTTTGGTTGTTTAAACATCTATTTCATTTGGAACTGGAGGCTGAAGCTAATTCTTAAAATCAGAGAAACAGCAGCATTTGAATCCTTTAGGCAGAGGAGCAACAGCAGAAAAGATTCAAGTGCTAAAGCCCAAAACTCACGTTATCATCATGTAAGTATGCAGGAAAGGTTCATCCCAATGTATTCGACTGCAACTTTAGATTCTGTCACTGGTGATAATTTTACCAAATATCTGTGCCTAGCCTTACACTTACTGATATCTGAAAAGGGCTGCAGAACAACCTCCATTCAGTATGGGACTGATGCAGAAACCCTTTTTTCTGAATAAGACACTGACAAACCCTGGACTCCGAGTGGCACATATTAATGCAAATCAGATCTCTATTTCTTGCACTGATATGGAAAGGCCAGCGTGTCCTTGCCAGTCTGAACCAATAGTATTGCGTGCAGAACTGCCACAAGGAGTTAGTAATGAATGGCTCTACCTAGCTCAGTGTTGAAGGACTAAGGAAAACACAGTTCTGCAATGGAGCATGCAAATTTCTGAACTGCACCTCTTAAAGGTAGTGGCAGAATGGAACATAAGGAATTCCTACTTCGACTTTTTCTTTTTGAAGCACAAAGAGAGTTTAAATGCAGCCAGCTCCTATTTTCTATGGGTGTGAACTGTCATGGAAGACATAGCTTGTTATCTCTCTTACACTCCTGGCAGAATCCACAGATTTCTCTGAAGCTGGTATTATGAACTCTGGGCAGCACAGGCTGAGTTAACTTTACCTGTTCCGAAAAAATCTTCCTCTGTGTGACTAAGACAAACACCGTTGTCCTCAAGCAGCTTCTGCATATTTTCCATGTGCTTCTTCCGAGGTTTAACCTTTTCCTTTTCCATTTCAGCCACAGCATTGTGATGATTTTTCTCCAGTCATCCAAAATCTTTTTCATGCATTAAAAACAGTGCCTGTTCATCAGAAAATGTTCTGCTTTTTCCTAGGCCAGTTTTGGGTGTCCGCAAAGACACTGGCATCATTTTTTAATGCAAGTATCTCAGATTTTATAACACAGGATTCCAACTGCAGAGATGTGCTTCAAGGTCACTGTCATTCAAAGAAATGGGTTTTTTCTGGCATTGGTCAGACCGTGGTTTGGCTGGGTTATCTTCATCTGTCTGGTGATGACAACTCATAGAACAGAGTGCTTCCCTCCACACTAGCTTTTGTTTTCCTGCCTCCCTCTGTGTCTCCCTTACCTTATTTATTAACACTGCCTTTGATTTCAAGCTCCCAAGGAGCACTGCTGTAGGTGGAACAGTTATGAAAGGGCAAGTCTACTGAAGGACTCATAGCAGGGTATAGAAAGTGTCTTCCCAGTTACCTTCCTTTTCTCCAGTCCCTTCCCTGATTTCTGTTTTTGGAGTTTGCAGAGATACTATGTGATCATCACATAACCACATCACTGAGAAGGTCCCACTCATTCACAGACTTGCTGTTAGAGAGGTTCTCACCTTGAGGTCCTCAGGCTATTTTGTCCCTGCTGAGGAATGCAAGCCCTGCCACACTGCATGCAGCCACAGCAAAGTGAGGCTGAGGAGTTCGTTGGTCCATCTCTTCAGTAATTCTGGCTCTGCTGATGAGCATGCTTGCTGACAAAGGTACTCTGAAGACACTGCTCTGTCCTGTCCTGTCCAGAAAGGTGTCTGTCAAAGGAACCCATAAAGGTTAGATTGAGTGGTGGGTAGCTGGGGCCCAGGTGGTAACAGTAGGAGATAGCCTTCAAGTTGCCCCCAGAACAAGGAGCAGGTCCAATGGAGGCAGCATGACAGACTGTTCATACCAGACTGGAATCTTGAGCCAGACGGGAGGATAATATCCTGTTCCAAGAAGGAGGAAGTATTTCCCTCTCTCAGGGACAAGCTGTTGTGAAGTCTGAAATCTTTCCTGTGGTGCACAGGACACCTAAGGCTTTGGACCTGTCCTTCCAGACAGATGCTCGTGGCTCCAGGCAGGTGCTGGTGGCTTTTGTGTCACTTTCCAAAGGCCTTTCTTCAGGCAGATCACTTCTTTGTTCTCATGCAATTATTGTCTGCTGTTCTATTGCTCTCTGAACACTCAACTGTATTTTTCCTCTTTTTTCACATTTTAAAATGTTACCTTTTTTAAATGACTCATATGATCTGGCGCATGTTAAATATTGCAGTGTACCAACTATTTACTAAATAATCCTTTTTCATGCTTTTTCTTTGTTTTTAAAATGGAGAGTATTTTCTGCATCCCACTCTAGCATGCACCTATAACGATCTCTGTTTTTATTGTGTGTGGGAGTAGGTTGTCCCATGAATGCGCCCTCAACACTGTGGCCTATGTATTGCTTTGGAAAGGCAAATAATGTATGATTGTTGGAAAACATTAGTCCATTGATTCTTTATTCAGATGTATAGAGAAGTCCAGGAAGGAAGAGTATTTTTGCATCGAATTTTCAGCTGACTTAGCAATAAAGATTTTTACTTTCATCTAACAGCTTATTCTGATTCTGTTACTGTGCTGGAAGAAACATCTGCAATATCCCAGGCAAAGGTAGCTGTGTCTAGCAGCAGCTGTGCTGCAGGTTATTCACTGAGCTCTATGTGCTACTTCACTCATCAGTCTTCCATACAAAAACTTCTTTCAGAACACTGTAAGAGTAGAATTAGGCTTAACAATTATTAAGGCAGCTTTCTGTTTCCTGCTTTGGGAATCCTGCCCTGTGAACTTGCTTCAATAGCACTGTGCAGCTCTAGAAGTAGCTGCAGCAAGAGGAAATACAGAAATGTTAACAGAAATTGGACGACAATGGACTGTCCACATAAATCCCTGTGCTGAGACACTTGATGCTAAAAGGCAGAAGTCAAACCCTAAAGCACCTAGTGTGTCCCTGTTTGGCATCTGTTTTACTTTAGTGTCTCTAGTTCTAATAGTGTTCCATGGTTTTGGTAATTGTGAGGATTTAGTCTCTGGTGCCAGTGAAAGAAAAGCTATGTCCAAGGCAAAGCATTTGTCTGTTTAGTTTTTTTTTAATATGGGCAGAACTCATCTGTTATACTGTGGTGGTTCCATCCTCATATGAACAATACACATAGTGGACTCTGCTCTAAAGTGTATTTTCATTTTGAGGCATGAGTGGATGATTCTAGTGGTACTTTTCCCAGTTAAATTTTCTATAAAAGTTTTTCTAAAAAAAAAATAAAGAGCAGCATCTAATTTCTCCAACTTGTACATTGAAAATGTATTTTGAAAACAATATACTTCTATATTCAATCACCCATTTGATCTCATAAAGCTTTTGTCTTGATTATCCCAATTCAGGGCACCTTTTAAATCAAAACTCTTGTATACAAGTTATATAAAAAGACCATTTAATACAAAAATTCTCCCTCTCCAGGAGTTTGAAAAGGTATTGTATCACAAGTTAGTTATTGCAAGTTTTTTTCAGGATTTTTTTCATGGCCTTATAAATGTCATATTCACACTGGTCTGTTAATTCCAAGAGACCTACAAGGAAGCAATATTTAGCTGTCACAACCGTGAGTCTCCATCACTTTTAAGATGGTTTTTTAAGAGTTTTTAAGAGCTCTTTTCTCAGCAAAGCCACATGCCTTTCGTAAAGACAGTTGCAGCTTCTGTTCGTTGGCAGGATGTAGTGGCAGTACTTGTAGCAAGGCCTCACTGGAGAAGGGGACATCTGAGAGTGGCATGGAAGGGCTGCCTGTGAAGCAGAGACAACCCATAGCATCAGCTTTGAGCCACTAATAATTCAGTAATGCAAATTCAAATTAGGAATAGCCTGACTACCATATTTAGAGCTATGCCAGCTTGATGAGTGTTCTGTAGCATGTTCTGTCCGAAAGAAAGGAAAGCATATTGCTTCATTTCAGTAAGGAGTGGAATGGAGGAAGCTCTTATAATTGCAGTGGCTTCTGTTTCTGTTCATGAACTGTTCTGTAATCTCTGACAGCTAGGCCTGCACTAAGCAGGTATGCCATGGCAGCCAAGCAACCCAAGAGGCCAGCAGCAATCTCTGCCCCATGCAGGCTGCACCAGAAGCCCTGATAGCCTTTGCTTTGATAAAGCTGCTCTCTCTCTTTGCATACTGATGAATTATAAACGCTGAGCAGAGAATGGAGGAAATAGTACAGAGCAGGAAGTGTGCCAACTGCAATCACTATATACAGGATGCATTCAATTAGCAGCCATGCTGGGAAGTGCCACGGGACCCGCAGAACACCAACGAAAATAAGAACACAAGGGAAGACCAGGAGACACCCTGCCACGGCCATGGCTGCCCTTGCAATGGGCAGCTTCAGTAGGTAGAAACGTTGGTCAAGCTGCTGGGCTCGCTCCCCATCCGCTCCGCTGAAGCCGCTGTAGGCCCCGCCGTACTGGTAGTAGTAGATGCCTCCCAGGGCGGGGAGGCCGGTGTATCCTCCCGCCGAGCCGCAAGACACGGAGCTGCAGACCAGGATCAGGGCGGCGAGCAGGACCTCCACCATCTGGCAGCAGGCTGGAGGGGAGGCCGAGGTGAGTCTGCGGCCACAGAGGAGCGCCCGAGAGGGAGCCGGGCCAGACGCTGCGCTCCGCAGGACGGAGGGAGCGGCTCCCGCCAGCCGCGCTCACCCCGGCCCGTGCGCAGGTACAGGCAGCGCCGGCGCTCCAGAGACCCTCGTACGGTGCGGCTTCCCCGCGGCGCCTCTGCCTCTGGTCCGGGTACGGCGCTAAGGAGAGATGATGGCAGGGATGGCAGTGACCCGTCCGGGCTCCTCGCCGCCGCCCGCCCAGCCCGGCTCCGGCCCCTCGCCGCCGCCACTCCGGTTTTGCTCAGCCCCGGCGCCGAGCCGGGACGCTGGCGCCCCCCCGCTGCCCTCAGTGCCCGCTGCCCTCAGTGCCCGCCCGCTGCCCTCAGTGCCCGCTGCCCTCAGTGCCCGCCCGCTGCCCTCAGCGCCCGCTGCCCTCAGTGCCCGCTGCCCTCAGTGCCCGCTGCCCTCAGTGCCCGCTGCCCTCACCGCCCGCCCGGCCCGGCGCGTCCCCCACGCGCGGCACGGGGGCAGCCCCGCTCCGCCATGGCCCGGCGTGGCCCCGCTCCGCCGGCGCTGGGCACTGGGGGCCGGCCCGGGTCGCCCCGGGGTACTGCCGGTGTGGTGAACTCCGTCTCGTCCCCTCGCCTCAGCCCCGCCGGCGCTTCTCTAAAGTGGTGGAAGCTGCGGCCCGGTCAGGCCCTGCCCCGTCTGAAGGTGCTCAGCTCCTCGACGCGGGTGCGAGTTCTTCCGGCACCTGCGCACGGTTCACCGGCTGTTGGCGTGCCCGCTCCCTTTCACTTCCACCGACACTGTTCGCGCAGCCCCTTGTGGTGAGAACGTCTCGAGGTTTCTCACCTGCCACAGAACGTGCTTGTCAGTATCCACTGGAAACTGACTAGATTTAACCAATTGAATTTTCACAATTGTACACGTTCTACCTTTTCCTGTGCTGTGAGTTTTGGTGAGTGTTCTTTATTCGGCTTTTCTGCAACCTCGTGCCTCTGTAAACTTCGTCCGTGCCGCTCTGTTCCCTTATGCACCCCCAATCCCGGCCCCTCTGGGCCTGCCCGAACTCCCCTAAACCCGTCCTGTGATGCTGTGGAGTGGCTGCACCTCCATGCAACACTCAAGACACAAGTGCACCAGCAGTTTACATCGCAGCAAAACAACCATCTCGGTCTTGTCCTGGCAACGCACAGCATTTTGTTGCTTCTCCAACTGCCTCAGCACAAAGCCTGTGTCTCCAGATCCGGTCACTAACACTGTGGGATCTGTCCTGCAGTGCAACTGTCAGGTTCCAGTTCAGCCCTTGGCAGACCACATTCAGGTAATTTTCTTTAGATACGTTACCTTATATTTAGCCATACAGAAACAAATAGACCCCTTTCGTGTCTTCTTGCTGGAGGCCACTTCAGACTATACGATTGGAACTTTTTACTGGCGATAATGTCCTGTTGCCAGTCTGTCCTCCCATCCAGGCAGACCCCTTACTACAGCAGCCAGCAGAGGAGGTGACAGATTACTCCTCTGGTTAACGGTGGTGGGTGGAGTGAAGGCAAGTCCCGGATCTCACCCGTGCACAAGTGTCAGCATTTCTCAGGGCTGGTAAGGGCAGAGCTGATTCAGGAAAGGAAGAAAAGTAAAGAGCAGGACAATTTGGAAATACAGAAAACTCCACATTCAGAGCAAATGCTTTTATTCAAGAGTTTGACCAAACACTGCCTGTAAAAGCTCTTTGATTTTACAGCCAAGAAAATGCAAAGAAATACGTTCACTACATTTAGGAAAACACATTTTTGGGAAAACACTGTAAGGTCTCAGACACAATACCTGAATATGTGCCTTGAGAGGTCCAAATTTTTCTCTAAGATGCAGAAATACATTTCCTCCATCTGTAAGATGGTGGCAACACTAAGACTGTTTCACCCTTCTGTCTCTACAGGAGCAACAGCAGTAACCCTACAGATTTACATTGTGAAAAGCCTATAAACTGCACCTCAGCACTGTGGGAAAACACTCTCCTCAACACTTCACCTGATTCCACGAAAGACTGGAGATCTGAAAATTCATGTTAAAATTTACTTAGTTTGAGGTAAGAGAGAAGGAAAACAACCATTGTTTCAATTCCCAGTTCAGACAGAGGAGACAGAAGTTGTGTGCTAAGTTATAAAATGGAGATTCCATAGCGAGCTTAGGACGAGGACTCTGGAGATAGTGCAGGTGCTCAGCAGTGAGGCTGTTGCACACACCTTTTCATCTGCATATGTTGCATCACTCATATTGACATGCTGGAAAGCAGGCCTCCTTGCTGGATGGGTTTAAAAGTTTTAGCAGCCCTTTGTGAACTTTTAGGGTCATGCACAGTGCCACTTTGCTTAGTAGAGCTTTTAACTGGCATGAAAGGGACATGAAAAACTAAGCTGAATCATCATGAGTCCCAAGAGGGGATGAAATAAGTGTTTCTTTAGCAGAGTGTTGCTTCTGGTCATCCATCAAACTGAGATAAAGCTGTCTTTGGATTTGTGTGGGATTTACTTGTTCAAAGACAGAGCCAGGAAGTATTGCTCTGTTGGAGACGTGTTCAGTGTTTTACTAGAGTGTTTGCTGCTAAAAAGTGAGGTACAAGCTTCAAGATACTGTAGAAGTGAGTCAGTCTTATTTCATTTCTGTTGCTATAATGAGAAATCTTAAAAATATGCTTTGTGTCACTTCACTCCTGCTCAAAGTACCATAGCTAAACTTGGACAGCAGCATCTTCTGGGCTCCTGTTCTCACTACAACAAATACCAGTCAGCAGAACAGAGCAATAGGAAGCTGAGGATACCAATATTATTCTTCACCACCGTTTTGGCTTCTCTTTGTAATAATAATAATAATAATAATAATAATAATAATAATAATAATAATAATAGTAATAATATCTTCATTTCTGTCTATTTCTAATATCATTGCTGCACTAAGGGAGGGAAGAGCCTGGTTTGGCTTGCCATGGACCAAGAGCTCTGACCTGGTTCAGTGCCCTCCCTGGGAACTTGGGTAAAGTGGTAGGAGCAAGTGATGAACTGCCTCGTATGTCTCCAGTTTGAGGCAGCTGGGAGCTGCAGCACAATCACTGCTGAACACCACAACCAGATTTATTGACTGTCCCACATAAATAAATAATCACAGGGACAATGAGTGCAGCATGATGACGATAGAGCAGTACTGTAGAAAAGAACTGGAGGTTATTGTGAATGACAAACTGAACTCAAGTCCACAATGTCATCTTGTTGCGCAAAAACTAACATTTCTAGGGTGTATAAACAGGAATGTCACATGTAGGATGTGTGAAGAAATTCCTCTGCCCCCACTTCAGCACTGTTTGGCCTCAGTCTTGCACACTGTGTTTCCAGAGGTGAGCAGATCAGCTGGAGTAGATTCAGAAGAAAGCAAAAGAAATCTCTAAAAGTACAACCTAGGAGAAGATTGATCACAGACATTTCATTTGAAATAACAAGCATCTGTTAACAGCTTGCAAGCTTGTTAATAGAGAGGTGTCTAGACAACTTGCAAACTTGTAAAATCCTGCTGTCAAGAGCAGGGAAGTATTTTGTTCACTCTTTCTGCTGTTGGCATGGTCAGGAAGCAGAGAGCTTAGCTTGAAGTAAAAGGGATGTATTTTAGGCACCCTCAGTGTTTCTCACACACACTCCAACTCCACCATTTTATAAGGAGATGAGCAGTTGTTGCAGGAGTAGATTAGTCAGCAGATGGTAGGTTTCCATCACTGGAGCTCTAATTCAGTCATGAGAACGCTGGCCTGTCTGTGTTCCTGTGCTTGTGCTGCCCACGCTACCCACTTCAAGCTCACAGTGTCATCTCACCCCGCAAAGCCACAGTGCCCCTTTCCACCCCATCCCCACTGGCTGGTCACTGTCCCAGTGGCTCCAAGGCCATTGGAGGACAGCTGCCATGACATACCATGCAACAGCTCAAGTCTCTGAAGTCATAAGTCAAACACAGGATATGCACTTAGCTGGATAATATTTACCTTGATGTAAACAGACACAAGTCTGGACAAGATGTTTTCTTTCACTATGCCTATACTCAGGAACCAGTAACATTCACACTTTGTGGAACTCAACATCTCAGCATCTGTAAGAGGAGTTGCAAGTTTTTCATTATGGCTGTTGGGCCTGTAGCTCACTGGTGCTTCCCAACTCGGCACAAACCTGGAGTGCACTCTGTGTCTCTCAGCGTGCTAGCAGTGGACTCAGTGCCCAGGCTGAGCAAGCAAAAGCTCCTGTACCTGCTGGACCCTGTCCCCTCCCAGCATTGCAGTGGTCAGTGGCTGAGGAGTGCAGTCTGCTGTGCCCAGCACAGCTGCTGTTGGGTTGCTGCAGTGCATTTTCAGGTGCTGGTGCTGTGGGAGGCACACAAGATGCCATAGTCAAGAAAGCATTTGGTTTTTACATTCCATGGTTTTCTTGATGGTGAACAGTAATGAAATGGTGAACGGTAGGAGATGGTGCTCATTAAACCGTATTAACGCAGCTGTTTTCCATCTGCCCAGGGCTTGCAGAGGAGAGTTCTACCAGGAGCCTAGGCAGGGTCACTGTCCCTGCTGTAATGCCCTCTATTTGTGCATTATGGGAGCCACCTTGTTCCCCTTCCCAAAGAAATGCAGAGACCAGACAGCCCCTAGATGCCAGTGCTCCACTTTCCAAAGCCCAGCTCACACAGGTAGCAAGAGCATACTTCAAACCTCTTGTAGTACACAGGATGCTTTTCCAGAATAGGCATCTCTAGCTAGACTGTGCAATTTCGGTGTATTTCAGATTTTTATTTCTGAGATCAAATCAAAATTGATCCTGAATACAGGCAGGTAGATAAACTGTAGCTACTGTAAATTTTTTAATTACCCCATTACTGGTTTTGAGCCACTCTTTGTGGATTGTGCCGTCTTTCTGGCTCTTAAATACAGTGTTTTCACAGCTTTGGAGAGCATAGCTGGGCTTTTTTGGAGCTGATTTTTCTGCTCTGATTATGCAAAGAGATAACAGGTGCTACGCTTCATTTCAGCAATTAAGATTGCTGGAGGCACAAGCATCAGCCATCACTTGATCAGAGGCTCATGCAGATACCTGCAGGCTTGGCACAGCAGCCCTGCCTACACCGTCAGACAGCTTCAACTCTGAGTATATGCATTTTCAGAGTGCCTGTGTGACCTGACCTATCAGGGGCAGGGTTTATGCCTTGTGTTCAGAAAACCTGCTGCAGTGTTATAATGATGCTGTCAGAATCAATAAGCAGATACAACATTCATGAGCAACATGGAGGCTTTATTGCTGTTTGCTCATCTGAGACTTTAACAATACATTGATTTAAGAAAAAATGGATAAAGGAAAAATCATATAATTGGTTATTAAAAGCTGATTCAAGTGGGAATGCAGAGACCAAACTGAATTAGGATACACACAAAACCTGAACTGGCTGGTGCTATAAAAGCAAAATATAAGGAGGTAACAAGTGAAGTGATTTGTTACTGACCCTGGTGGATTTTTATGCAGATTACTAGCTGTGTGCCTGTCCCTGCAGCAGTGCACCCTGAATTGGCAAAACTATCCTTGTGTATGACCTACCTGCAGCCTGACAGAGACAGGTTTGTCATTGCAGCAATGCTTGAGCCCGTGTTCCCCTCAAACAGCTGTTAGTCCTGCTTTGTGACTGCAGCTCAGTCTGGAAGCTGAACTGCTTGGTCTTACTGGTTTTGCCTCTGTGCACAGAAATGGGACTCTGGGAGCCCTGGTACCAGAGAAAGGCAGTACCATAAAAAATGCTGAAGTTATCACTAATTTCTCCTTCCAGTGGGAAGAGATAAAAATCAATTGCTCAAGCTACACAAGAAAGAGAGAGCTGGAGAGCTATGCACAAAATACCTGTAGGGTTGACCTGCTGGGACAGAGGAGCAAACTACAGAGGGTGGAGGCAAGTTAGTGGGGTGGGGGTGCTAGTGGGGAGCATAGGGCCTGACAATCCAGAGAAGCAGCAGCCTTGCTGGCAGAAATGCATCTTGCAGGGTATGGCTGCACTGTAGAAGGATGGCTTGGCCATATTTCTAGAATACAAAGTACTGAGTTGTGTGTTCATGCTTTGGGACGCCCTGTGCACAACAAGGGGTGGGAGGATAGGGGCTGCATACCCCATGTGAAAGCATCTGGAGGAGGACTGGAGTCATGGAGCAAGAGGAGGAGGAGGGCATTGTAATAGCAGGAGAAATCCACTGATGCCATTGTACTCTTCTGTCCTCATCCTGCTTCTCACCAGGTTCTCAGCCTTATGTAACTGAGCCTGCTATGTCTCTAGAGTCACATTTTTCCCCCCTTGGCAACAGGCTTCCACTGTGGCCTCCCCTGAACCCCACTGCTGTGTGCAGTATGACGGGTAGAGCTCCAGTTGCGTCAGTTTGGAGGTTGTTGCTAGGCAGAACATACAGCATCGTCCTTGAGGCCTTCCAATGCCATGTTTAACCCTGCCAGAGCTGCAGCATGGCAAGAGATGGGGCCAGCTGGGGCAAGTGAGAAAATAACCCATAGGTGCTTGGAGAGGGCCTGCATAAACTTCCAAAGGTTAGTCATGTCAGGTTTCAGTCAAAAGAAGAGAGAAACTGTGCAGCCCTCAGCAGAAGACAGTCCAAACAACTGCAGTACAAGATGTTTCTCTGTGAAAGGGTTTTGAAAGGTGCTATTCCTTGTCCAAAGGCCTTGGGGCTGGTTGCAATGAGAAGTCTGCCCTCTAGTCTGGGGCTAAGGATGCTGGCTACACCTGCTGTCTACACTCCGACCTGCCTCCAGCCCTGAATCCTTGGCCCCCACTGTGGCCTCAGGAGTGCCAATTGCAGTCCTGGAGCCAACAGCTGGTCATGGCTCCCCAGCAGTGTCAGCCCAGCCACAGCGCTGAGGGAAGGGGTCACTCGTTGCATCTGGGGAGGTGCAGCCCTACTGATGGTTGCGTAGTGAGCATGGGTTGAATAAAAGGTCCTTTCTCCTCCAACTCAGGTGCAGGTACAAACAGGTAAAATTCACACTGACCACTGGCCTCTGCAGTCTCTTTGCTCGGAGGTTGACAAGTCCCTCTTGTCCCTGAGCAGCTCTTCAGTCTGTGGCCATTTGCTGCCATGGCACTAAGGGAAGACTTGGAGCAGCCCTTGGAAGGCAGGAAGATGTGTCTCATTTATCTTAGCCATGCGGGAATTAAGAGGCAGGAAGCTACAGGTTCATATCATTTAGCAAAAAAAAGCCTTCTGGGTATGGTATCATCTGTAGTTTGCAGTACCATCAAAGAGTGAAGAATTGCATCATTTCTGCTGGCTGCCAGAATTATGAGTTTGGGTCTTGCAGCAACCAAAAAAAAAAAAAAAAGCAAAAATCCCCCCAACAAACCAAAAAAACAGGGAAAGGCAAAAAAAAACCCCTCCAAACCAATGACAACTTGAGCTTACTTTAATCCTTCAGGTCCTGGTGCCTCCAAAACACTGGCTAGGGAAGTGCTTTCCTCCCTTCAGTTTACTGAGGAAGATGCCTCCCCATTGTAATGGAGCCATAGTGTTTGTCAGCTATTGCACTGGGATCCCGGAAACTCTTAGGTCAGGACAGACTGATGGCTTCCTCAAGCTTTACGTTCCATCAGTCCACTCTCGGTGAATTACAAGGTGCTAGTGTTGGAATACCTAGACTCTTCAGATTTGCCCCCAGCAATGTTTGCAGACTGAGGAAAGTGGTGGCAAAGGATGGCAGCCCAGGCACTGCAGGAAGCCAAGATGTGTCCTTAGGCTGCCCCCAGAAAGAGTTAATGCACAGCCATGTTCCAGGTGTTTGAAGTGACTGCAGTTGCAAAGGGGAGGAGAGGTCATTTTTGGGTGGGGAGAGCAGCCCTCTCTGTGAGCCAATGGCTAAATGATTCAGTCTCAACGCCCAGTTTTGGGGATTATTTCATGGGCAAGAATTCACAGGACTTTCCTCTCAAGGGAATTTGTCCTGGATGAAAACTAGGGACTGGACCCCCAGGCTTGTTGGCGTCTCCCTGTCTGTGCTATAGAAGGTAAAGTGCTGTGCTCTGGTGCCTTTCCTCTTTCAGGTGGGTAGTGGGGAGTTCTTCCCTGGCTGCCTACATTGAAGGTATCCATTGTGCCTGTGTCTACAGCTCCCCTTTTCAGAAGAACCATGTTGCAGGGTGGTGTAAGGGCTCTGCTAGAATAGACTGTGTATTTGGGATGCAGCCCAGCTGTTAAACTGAGATATGTGGCTCATTTCTAGGCTCAGGTTTTTTGCGCATTCCTGCTATATATTTCTTCAGCTGACTTTCTTCTGTTGGAAAGGAAACTCAGCAGGTTTCAGCAGAAAAGCTGAAGTCTTTCTCTGTGACCCTGTTAAATCAGCCTGAATTGCTATAAATGGGCTAATAAAGCACTGCTGGTAGAGTAGAGTAACTGCAGCAGCATGGGGCATCTCTAGGTGCACACTTCACTGAAACCGTGAGAAATGTGTTCAGACACTAAATCCTGCCTGAACCAGGCAACACTACAGCCCTTCTGGCTCAGTCTCTGTGGCAAGGAAGGGGGAGCTGTGTTGTATCTGCGAATGTGGGGCTATGTAACTACCATCAGGAAAGCGCTGCTGTTCACTGAATTGCTTTTCAGTGGAGCAGAGAAATAGGACAGAATAGAAAGCATGAGCAGTTTGTGGCAGGATTACAAGGTAGTGTGCCAGTATCGGCAAGAACGGACTTTGTGTCTCAGGAGGTCTGCCTCTTCTGTGCCCTATCCCTAAACTGCAGGTGGAAATCCCTGAGTCATCAGAAGTTTGTAAGTTAGGCTTTTCCTGCCTGGTCTAGCTGGTGTTCTGGGTATAACATGCTGGGATGTGTAAGTCACTTTTGTGTCCATTTTTAGGTGTTGAAGGCAGCTGTTCCTCTGCTGTACCTTGCTTGTTGCTCAGTTTCAGGTTGAACTACAGGCCCTTTACTTGGGGCAATGCTGCCTCCTGGATTTCCCTCTTGGCCTTACCAGTCTTGCTCCATTCCCTAAGCATTGCCTCTTGCTCTAGGCTCTCTGGGCTGGGCTGTTCTCTGCTGACAGAAGCAAGTGTCTAACCCCTATCCTGCCACTGCCTAGTGCATGCTGATAACATTGAAGAAGAACTATCTTTTTGGTATCTGATAATTGATTTATAGTGCTGCATATCTGTCTGTAGACTGGAGGAACATTCTGGATATGAACACTCGTAGTGGGTCAGCCCTTGTGTTTGCAGGTTGAGGTGTGCAAGTTGATAGCTGGGGGGTGAAAGTGCATGACCTGGTCCTTCGGTCAGTGGAATATTGAATCTGCAGTCAGGCAGTGACTACAACATGCTGCAAATTCTTGGCTGCTGGCTTTAGCGGGGCTCTCTCCTCCCCAGCGTGGAGGTCCATGCTAGGCAGTGGTACAGCTAACACAGAGAAGTGCCTTGATCTTTCCTGATCTTTCCCACTGTATTGCTCTCTCACTTATGCATGGGATTTCACTACATCCTGGCACCAAATACAGCCCTACTTGCTGCTGCTGCTTTGTCCATAAGCATTAGGTAGTGTCTACAGCTTTCAGAAGTTTTACTTATGGGCTGCATCCCCAAATGGACAGATTCCTTGTTTGACATGTGTTAACTAAGCCCAGGAAATTCACTTTGCACTGACAGCTCTCAGGATGGACTCGTACCTGATCCAAGTGAATGGCCATGGAGATCATGCCCCTATGCTAGATGTTCATCTCAAGAACACTGGGAGCACCATATCACCAGGGAAGGTGAAGGGTCGGAAGCCAAGATGGGCCATCAGGGCTTCTGAAATGTCAAAGAAGACTTTTAATCCTGTTCGAGCCATTGTAGACAGCATGAAGGTGGAGCCCAACCCAAAGAAAGCCATGATCTCCTTGTCCTTAGGTGAGCATAGTCCTGTGGCTGAAGCCTCCAGGTATTTGGATCAACTGTGTGGCTGACAGATTGCAGGGCTCTGAAGCACAAAGTTTGTGTGAACACCAAGGGATAGGTCAGACAACCACACAGTTCTGTGCCTGTCACGGATTGGCAAGAACTTTACTATTCTCTTAATTTTTGAAAAGGAGACCCGACGGTCTTTGGAAACCTTCCCACAAATGATGAAGTCACACGGGCTGTGAAGGAGGTTTTGGACTCAGGACAGTACAATGGTTATGCTCCATCTGTTGGTAAGTTGACAAAGTTCATCCTTTGAGAGCTGGATGAAGTCATGTGCCAGCTCCTACCCCACAGCAGGTATATGGAGCCCAGATATCTTTCCATTAGCACCCTACAGCTCTCCTCACCAGTAGTCACATGAACACACAAGTAGGTGTATCCCCAGATACACCTGTGTACTCTTTCCTGCATGGGCTGTTTGAGGCCCAGAGCTCCTGCAGAAGTTGTTTGCTGCCCCGGCCATTGGGGCAGACAAGGAATCAAGAACCCAGAAGGGCTTGGAACTGTGTGTCCCTGCCATGGTTTATAGGCAAGCTCCTTTCTGATCTGCCTTAACCAGGACTCCCCTTGGGCTCCCTGACTTCACTGACACCATGAGCCTTGTTTGCAGTTAGTGCCAAAAGCATGCACAGAGTATAGATCATGCTTGTATCATGGGACCCTCCATCTGGTGACAGAGAGGGCTGCTCCAGTGCCATCACTAAACAATGAAAGCCATGTCATCACACTTGGCTTCCTTCTGGCTCAGAAAATTCCCTGGCTACCTTCTGCTCTGCTCCTGTCAGTTCTGTCCTGGGAACATGCTGGGGCCAGTTTGCCTCCCTGCCCAAGGTTTGTCCCTGTTCTTGGCCATCGTGGCCCAGCCTTGGGGCTGCATGGTGCTTGGCCTGAGGCAGGACAGTCTCTGCCACCCTAGGACACCACCAGATGGATTTTCCCCAGCTGGGCAGCAGCTGTGAGCCTTGTACTGGTAAGAAGAAAGAAACAGTACTGGTAACAAGAAGGAAAGAATCTGTAAAAACCTCCCTTCCATGTTTGACTCCTCTTTCCTCAGGCTACCAGTCCTGCCGGGAAGCTGTGGCTGCATACTACAACTGCCCGGAGGCACCACTGAAGGCCCAGGTACTGGTGCCCAGCCAAGGTGCTCCCACGGCAGTGCAGACAGGGTGCTGCTGCCTGCAGACCATGGGGCATGGGGGCCCTACCCCAGCTCTCCCTCCCTGCCCAGTCACAGGACTAAAGGCTAGCCAAATCACCTTGTCCCAAGGTGGCCTCCTGCTGCTCTCATCCCTTCCCTGAGCCCTTCACCTCCACCCTCCCCAGGAGGAGGTTGCACTTTCCACCAGCTGAAGTTTCCCTGCTTTCAGTCAGGCTCTGGCACTGTCTTTTTGGCTGAGAAGCTCTACCTGGCAGAGCTGAGCCTGGATGTTATGTTTGAAGTACTTTAGAGTGCCTATGCTTCCCACTGACCTCTCTCTGCTCTTTGTAGGATGTCATCTTAACAAGTGGCTGCAGCCAGGCCATAGAGCTTGCCTTGGCAGTGTTGGCCAACCCAGGCCAGAACATCCTGGTGCCACGGCCTGGCTTCTCCCTCTACAAGACTCTAGCATTGTCTATGGGGATAGAGGTCAAACTCTATAACCTCTTGGTAAGTGGTGGCAGGCCTGGAAGGGGCAGCCTTGACATTACTCCTCTCAGAAATACCCTGGGAAGTGGGTGAAGGTGACATGAGTAACCCTGGGTGCACTGGCACACCTGACCTTGTGTGGCACGTTCAGTTCCTCAGCTTTTACTTTCCCTTCACTTCATTTCACTAGCCAGAGAAGGCCTGGGAAATTGATTTGGAGCACTTGGAGTCCTTGGTGGATGAGAAAACAGCTTGCCTCATTGTGAACAACCCATCGAACCCCTGTGGCTCTTTGTTCAGCAAGAGCCACCTCCAGGAGATCCTGGCAGGTGAGCCTGCCTGTGTGTTTCTGGGGCCTGGGGCGTGGTTGCAGTCTAGTGTCTCATTGCTCATGTCTCAATCACTGCAGCACCATGGCCCAGGGCTTTGCTTCTGACTGACTCCTCCTCAGGAAAGAGGGTTTGCTCAGTGTGGAGGTGCTGTCTTATCTGGCTAAAGCATGCAGAGTATGTGTCTTCCTCAAAAGCTCTATGTGACTTGGACTGCTCATTTCTCCCCTCTGGCTCTGCACAGGGAGTGTTCACAGGGCCCTGTGCTTGCTGAGCCCCGTCCTGACAGAAAGGGCTGTGGTGCCAGTCCCCACCAATTGGAGCAGAACTAGGCTCAGTATGGGCAGGGATCCCCAGTGGCCAGGCTCTCCAAATGAACAGTCTGTAGGTGGAAGATAGGGACCCTGTGCTCTGCGACAGAGCTTCCCTCAGAGCTCTGCAAGCCCCTGCAGCAAAGGGCAAGTCTGTTCCCATGTAGGTGGAGAATGCAGGTGGCCAGGCTGAATGCTCTCTCTTCCACAGTGGCATCAAGACAGTGTGTGCCCATCCTGGCTGATGAGATCTACGGAGACATGGTGAGTGTCAGTTGCAGTCCTTTGTACTCCCAATGTTGCCTGCCCTTTTTGATACACCTAATCCTTGGTCATGGCAGCCAGGCCTCTAGAGGTGAGGGACAGCTCCATTCCCCTGTGCTGGGTGCATGCCTGGAGCTCCCAGTCCTTTGGTGCACAGTCCTAGGGGAACCTCTCATATCCAGCTCCTTTCCTCTTCCTGATCTGCTTGCTTTTATGTGTGTGCACTTACCCTGTTCCTACTTTGAAGCTGTGAGTTTTCACCATCGATTTCCCATCTCTTCCCTGCATCCCTTCTTGTTAAGCCTCATGCTTATGCCCAGTTCTCACAGTAAGAGACAGGGACAGCCCTAACACAGTCTCTGGTCATAGGTATTTGCTGACTGCAAGTATGAACCCATTGCAACTCTCAGCACCAATGTGCCAATCTTGTCCTGTGGTGGCTTGGCAAAGCGATGGCTCGTCCCTGGCTGGCGGATGGGCTGGATCCTAATTCATGACAGGAGAGACATCTTTGGTAATGAGGTGAGAACCTCTGTGTTGGTGTCATGGCAACAGACTTGCAGAGTCTTCAGTATGTGGATCACCAGGTCTTTAACTGATACAGGCAGGTACTGCTCTTTTGCTCTCACGTGGGTGTCACCCAATTGTGCTTACAGAGGCTTTTCTGCCTCTCTTTCATGTCCCTGCCTTACTCTGTCTGCTCCCAGACATGGCCTTCTACCCACATCTACACCGTAACTCACTCCATGTCTCTGCTGCCCGTTAATGTATGTCTTGTCATTTTTCTGTGCTTCCAACTTCTCAAATAGCTCCAGTGTGCACTGAAAGTATTGCATGGCTTATCCGGCGTGTGGAGTCCATGTGTGGTGTCTGTGTGCTCTTACATGGTTTCTCTTAAAAGTAAGAACAAAGCACCTTGCAGTGCTGCCAGTACTTTATCTGGCTATTTTTCAGCTGTGTTACAAGGACAACCATCTACTGCAGTGACCTTTCCACCTAGAAGGCTCTCTGCAGAGGAAGAGGGAGAAGAGAGGACCAAATGAGTGAGCAGAAAAGCTAATGTTGATTGTCCTTACCTGGCTTTGAAAGTGTGGATTGTGGGCACAGACCAAAGGGAAATGCAAAGTTATGTTTGGAACAGCTCTGGCTTTATTTGTATTGTCTGTATTCCAGCCCGGTTGAAGTCAGATTGGGAAGCTCCAAAGGTTGTCTCTGTTGACATTTCAATCTGCATTGGAAGAACAGAGAATGACAGTGTAAATAGTCTGCTAAGCCTAGCATATAGTCAAACAAATGTTCCTTAGTACTCTGTATGCTCACTGAAGAAAAGGGTGTGAACAGCTGTAGAAATACAGGAAGTGAGCCTTGGAGCTGTTCCCTTCCTTTGGGGAAGCATCATCTAAGCTGCAAATATGATGTTTTCTCAGATCAGGGATGGCCTTATAAGACTGAGTCAAAGGATCCTAGGACCCTGTACAATTGTCCAAGGAGCACTGGAGCGTATCTTGCACCGAACACCACCTGAGTTCTACCACAACACCCTAAGCATCCTCAAGGTAAACAGCCTGTTATAGATCAAGAAGGTCTGTTCACAGATTATTTGGAGGGAGTCCTTTCTGTCTAGTTCATCATTCTTCCTCTCCTCCCCCCCACTTGGAGGTGCAGTTTTTTCTGTGATTAGGATGACCCAACAAATCAAATTCCAACAGGAGACATTGTAACAGGCAGAAAAAGCCAGCTGTGATAAGTTTCAGGCAGCCTAGCTCTGCAGCTGGAGCTGCTGACCCAGAGGATGGATTTTGGCACTGACTTGCTGTGCTCAGCTCAGTAACACCTGCTGTGCTCAAGGCCATGATCTCCCATGCTGTTTGCATTCGTTGTCCCTTTATTTGTAGTAGGCAAACCTGTTCATAGTCCCAGTCCAGAGTCTAGCTTCCAAATACTGAGCTGCTTCCTGGAATTTCTCCTGTTTTGAAATTTCTCCTTTTTGCTTTTCAGTCTAATGCTGACCTTTGTTATGCTGCCTTATCAGCTATCCCTGGCCTTCAGCCTGTGAGGCCTGCTGGAGCCATGTACCTGATGGTAAGTGAGGGTCACCAATGCTCACACTAGATCTGGTTGCCAAGCTGGTCAGTGTTTCTGATTAGTACTTGCCACCAGGTCTCCGTTACTGTGCATTTTCGTATTGCCCTGTGTGGTAAATGCATGCCTTGGTCACTTTAGAAGGCCAGGATATGCTGTTCACTGTTCACAGAGCAGAGGCCAGGACACTTAACCCACTTTCTCCTGCACAGAACTCCATGACTTGTACTTTGCAAGACAAGGCTGTTTTGCCTGGTTATGAAGCCAGCTGACAACAGGATGCCCATATAAAACAAGGCAGATTATCATACCTCCTGTAGAAGATGTAACCTTCTTCAAACTAGCATGCCTTTCTTCTGCCTGTGGTGTTGCCTCTTCTTCCACATTTTCCCATGCCTGTTTGCATTAAAGTTTATAAGGTGCTGGAATTTCCTTTTTCATCTCATCAGGCTCAATTGGGACATTTATGACACTTGAACATATTTTTATTTTTATCTTTATTTTTATCTTTATTTTCTATTTTGTTCTATCTCATAATGTCTCCGGTTTTTCATTCACTCTTAAAATGTGGGCTCAGAACTGGACAATATGCAGTATCTGTTTTACTCGTTTCTGTAGAAAAATCCTTACTACTTGACTCTGTTTCCAGTTTTACCCTGAGCTACACAGGTCATTTTGCTTATGCTTTTTATGTAGAGGCACAGCTCTAAGATTCTTTCACACTTATTATATTTCTGCAGTACCTGACTATCAATTTCAAATTAAATCATGTGTTAATTTTTGTTTTCTACTAGCTCTGTCAGAACTTCTGTAAGCCAATTATCTCTCAAATTATCTATTTAAGAATATTTTCATGAGTTTTTAAAATCTTCTTTGATTGTAAAGGTCGGTCTGGATGGGGCCTTGAACAAGCTGATCTAGTGGATGGCAGCCGTGCCCCTAGTGGAGGCATTGGAACTAAATGAGCTTTAAGGTCCCTTCCAATTCAAATCATTCTAGGATTCTATAAAGAAAAGGCTAGAATAGCACTGTCTTTATGTGGGAGATGGACAGCTGCCTTCTTTCCAAATACAGAAAAGAAATATTTATTGAAGATTCTACCATTTTCGTGTCATTTAACCAGTTATATTGTTTTACAAGGATTAATTTTTTCATGATATTCTAGACGTTGCTATATTTATTTTTCTTTTAAACCAAAGCATTAGGTTTTTTTCTTGCACGACAGGATTACTAATGCGTATTGAGTTCTCTACCAAACTCTTTATTTATTCCTTTTCACTTCTAATTGGTTACTGTGTCTTTTCTATCAGGTGTTTTTTTACTGAAGCAGCATTTAACCGAAATTCCATCTTTAGGTAGTAAATGAAGGCTTTTTCAGAATATTTCATTTATATGTTTCTGTCTTGCATCCCAGGCAGCTCAAATCATGAGCAAAAATTGAGGGCAGACAGTTGCACTTGACTGGGAAGTCATTGGGCCGTGTGTGTGAACAGGGACACTGTAGATAGTTCTGGTGCCCTTGACTGCCATGTTACATCCGTCTGCTGCAGGTTGGGATTGAGATGGAGCATTTCCCGGAGTTTGAAAATGATGTGGAGTTCACCGAGCGGCTCATCTCGGAGCAGTCTGTGTTCTGCCTGCCAGCCACGGTGAGCCTAACGCTGAGAGCCCCAAGGAGCTGCGAGGCCAAAGCATGGTGGGAGAAGCTGTAGGGGTTTGCATCCCTGAGCTCTGAGAACAGGCTGGGAGTTGTGTATGCAAGTGTCCATGTTCTGTAATAGTGTGTAGGAGCTGGCTGTCAGCTCCCTGTGCTGCATGAGGGTGTCTGGCTCACTAATAGCCCCCAGTCAGGCTGCTGGGATATTCCCAGCTCCAGGCTTGACCAATATTTCTCAAGCTGGCAGAGCTGTATCCCTGAACTCCATATACTCCCACACCTCCTTGCTGAAGGTGCTCCCTCAGAGGGTAACATAGGTGGCTGTGTTCCTTTCCTTAGTCTGTTTCCAGTTCCTCACCCCTGCAGACATAGGGAAGGCTGAGAACTTCTGTGCCTTGCATTCAGTTCCAACACTGGATATGGACAGGGCCTTAAATATTTTCCAGCCCTCTCCTTTGCTAGCTCCTTTCAGCTCATTCCCTGCATAGTCTGGTCTGCACAGTTCACACAAAGTCCTCTGGCCTGTGCCCCTCACAGCATCATGTCTACACAGATGGAGATGGAAGATTTGCTTGGAACAGGAAAAACGGTCTAAGGGAGCAAGAACCAAGCCCTGCTGTTTCACACTAACCATATTCATGTGCTGATGCAGCTCATGGTGCCAAGGCAGGGCTCTGAAACTGGCCCTATTCCAGGTAATCTGCCACCTTCATCTTTTCTCATTTCAGTGCTTTGAGTACCCAAACTTTTTCCGCGTAGTGATCACCGTGCCTGAGGAGATGATCTTGGAGGCCTGCAGTCGCATTCAGGAGTTCTGTGAGATGCACTACCAGGGTGCTGAGGGGGCTCAGGATCTGGAGTGTGACAAGTAGCTACAGCTGACCCCCTGCCTCTGTCAGGCTAGACCTTGTATGAGGCAGCAAGCCTCACCCTGCCTGTAAGCAGTCACTGTCCTGCTGCTTCACTTTTTGTGCTCCACAGACTCCTCAGCATTATGGAAGGAAGATGACACTTCTCTCTCCTCCTCCACTAGAGCTCGCACACCCCCTTGCTTCCAGTCCCCCATATCTCTGTAGACTCAGCATCTGTGCCCTGTCTTGGTCTGTGCTACCTGTGAACCAGCTGCAGGCAGGGGCAGAAGGTTGTTCCTGAGCTGGGCCCTGTGACAAAAGCCCTGTTGGCCTGTGGCTCCTGTGCTGGCCACAATTCCCCTTGGGGAGAGGAGAAGGCTGCTGTCTTGGAGGATAAGAGAAAAGCACCCACATCTCACTTACCTATGTTACCTTAGGAGTCCAGAGCTCTTTATACTGAGCCCTTTGTGTGATAAAGGGAGTAAGTTATTGTAACTTTTTTTATTAATAAAAATTCTGACATGGCAGTCGTGCACTGTCCTACTGTTGTGCTAGGTTGGGCTTGGTCACTGTGGGTCACCTTCGTTCCCTCATGGTATTGCAGTGCCCCAGGCATGTCCCTGCCTGCCCAGGGCCATCCTGTCTGTCAGCATGAATACAGTGAGAGTGATTCAGACCCCCAAAGAAGCCTACCAGCCCTGAGAGCAGGTGGGCCCTGCAAGCTTGACTCAGACTGGAGCCAGCCCCTCCTGCCCTGATGATGTTGGCAGCTCGCTGAGGCAGTCTGTCCATTCTGCACAGAACCATCCTGTCTGCACCTTCTCCTTGGCTCTCACAGCCTCCCCCAGTGTGGCCCCAGCAGAGCAGTGGGTGCTGTGCTTGCCGCTGCAGGGGGGCAGCTGTCCCCACGGCTGGAGCCAGCCATGCCTACGTCCTCAAGGCTCGGCATGCCTTTCCTGCTGTAGTGATGAATCATGGGGTGGCACCCCATGGCTCTGTATGTGTACTGTGTGTGGTGTTGTGACATGCCAGTGGTACCGGGGTTACTGATAGCTGAATACGTCAGCTCCATAAAGCAATAAGGAACTTGTGGCCTGTTGCCTGTTTATTCAGTGGAGAGGGGAAGAGGTGATAATGCCCAGTGCAACAGGCGTTCTGGTGAGATGCTCAGGAGTCATTTCGGGCTCTGTCAGAGGGGGCACTTGCGGAGTGCCTCATGTTGCCACCTTCAGCTCTGTTCACCTGTCCTCCCACAGAGTTGGGATCCACAGGTCAACCCTGCCTCCCCAGTGACAGGAAGCTAGCTCTGGATTACACACTGAAAGTCCTGCCAGCTTCTGTAACTGTCTAATTGTCTCCCCTTACTTTGCCCAGTAAAAGATCTGAGTGCCAGTACTCCATTAGAGAGGAGGGCTAAATGAGAAAGATAGCAGTGTGTGAAAAGGTCTTTGACATGTCAGCTGAGTATCCATGCTACATCTTTTCCTTTCGAAGAAAGCAATCCTGGAACAAAAAGAGAGGGAAGCTGGGGCTATGGGTGAATGGTACACAGCTTCAGAGATTTCATACTACTAGATCTTCAAATAGAGCTGAATAACCAGAGCTGCTTAAGGAAAAACATAGACTAGTAACAAGCAGGGTGGTGTGTGAAGGGTCTGTTGGACCAGGAGGCCTTTACAGCATGATGTTGCTGATTGTTATGCCATCTTGAACCTACTACAACTTTCAGGTGCCATCTGCTTCCTTCAAGTCTTCTCCATGTACCTTAGGTTCTGTGTCTTTAATCCCCCTTACTAATAAACTGATCCTGGTTTTAGAGACAGATGATCCTTTCAGATTGATCTTCCTTCAGGAACCTCTTTTCTTGCAGTCTCCTCAGAGATGTCTGTTAACATGCAAATATTCAGCAATAATTAACACAATCCTGTTTCTTTTTGACCCAGCAGCATTCAAATGGGAAGGCTGGGAGAGCCAGAGACAGGCATATATATACCTCATAAATCTCAGGGTATTTAGATTTCTCAAGGCCACATCCTCCATTGTCATCTCTTGTAACCATATCACTGCCTTTTGACCACACCTAGGTTTTCCCTGATGCAATGGCAAGCTAGCATTTAAACCACAAATGTGTTGGTATCGTTTTTCAGGTATCAAACTCACAGATGCTTTACGTCATAGCGTGGGTGTAGGTTACAGCACCCTGCCAGCCATACAAACTAGCCTAACTTGGAGTTTGGAGGTACTCTGTGCCAAAGAAAACTCCTTCAGCATTGAGAGCAAGGAAGAAGTCAAGACACGGGTCTGAATCTGCTCTTTGGGGGTGCTCAGCCAAGATCTTCAGAGCTTCAGCAGAACTGTCCCAGTGTCCTTATAACTGGTTGTAGGAAAATAAGGGAAGATTGGCAAGGAGGATTGTAAAGAGACTCAAGTGTCTTGCAGGTGAAGTGTAGAAAAACACATATTATACTAAATGTTGTTTAGTCTTGTGTATTTGGCAACATCTGTACATAGGCCTGTGCTAGACTTAGAACCACCCCATTGAACATGCTTGACATTCCTGCTTTGCTATGGTAAAGATCAAATCTCTGGGCCTGTAATAATCCCTGATATCCATGAGAAAACAGCAGGTTTGGTGATCCTTGAGCATGGACCAGACTCCACAGTGCTGGCTGTGAGGTTTGGGAAAAACCTCCGGGTGCTCTGAGACACTCACACTGTCAGGTTATGTTCTTTTTTAAAAAGCGAAACAGCTAAAATTTGTATAAAGTTATTTATTGTAGAAGCACATCAGTCTCAAAAGCAAAAGTCCATGCTACGTTTTGGCTTAGAGTCCCAAACAGAAGCAGAGGCTCCCCGTGGTCCCAGCAGGGCCAGAGGAGCCAGGCAGCTCCTGTTTTCTTCTGGGTGTTGATGATGGTGGTGACAGAGCAGGAACAAAAGCAAAGCAAAAGCAACGGCAAAAAGCAATGGCATAAAAAACCAATGGCTCTCCTCGAGCATGTTTTTTATAGAAACTTATGAGCAAGCTAAGATGCAGACTCGGATCACTACTTCTTAACCTATTAAAATTTTAGTTTCTTAGCACGCCAGGCTACGTATAGACTACATTCATGGCCTATCTTGTTCTAACTGAAAAATGTAAGCAATATTTTTAACTCTATTATGTTTGAAGCTAGGTTCTTGGAGCCTCTAAGGAAACACTAGTATGTTTTTCAACCTTCACTAGAAGATGTACTACTTCTCAAAAATCTAAGACCTTTTACTCACTAAAACCACTTAAAACTTATTCCATTTACTTACTTACTCACTCTATCAATTTACTTACCCATTCCATCTGCTCAGTTACTCATTCCATCTACTCACTTGTTCTCTCATGCTACAACCTAAACCTTTACTTCTACTTTATGTGTAAAAGGCTTAACATACTTCATCCAAAAGCTTTAATTAAATCCCTGCATTCTGAGCTCTCTCTGAAAAATTCAGAAAAACTCCTAACTTACTGACTCCAACACTGGCATCCCTGTTTGTGTGCCTCTCCCTGGGCAGGATCCTCGCTGCTTTGAAGATCCCCTGGTTGGCGAGGTAATGGAAATAAATTGACATGCATTTAATCTGTTTTTGTGGTTGTTCCTGCATCCTGCCGGGGCTGGCTCACACATCGATCCACAGCCATCCTCCCTGTCTTAGCTGGGGAGCAGCAGTGATAGACCCTGGCACAGGCTCACATTGTGCATCTGCTCTTTTCTGTGTTGTCTGGGCTGGGTGTGTTTAGGATTAGGGTGATTTACTTCAGATATGGGGACCTAAGGAAGGAGGCAACCTCATGTCTAGTGCTGTCTTTGGGCAAGAAAGGAACTCCTCAGCTTGAAGTGTACTAGTCCTCAGCTTCCAAAGGGGCTGGCCATAGGTTCAACCCCAACAAGGAAACTGGCACTGCAAGCAAGCAGGGACAAATTGCACCTGCAAGCAGTGAAACCCATCAGTTCCCCCAGGTGCTTTAGGAACCTCAGTGTAGCCTGGCTCCTGGCTCTGGCCTCAGCCACTCCCTCTTGCAGTAGCCCTGATGCCTTCAGCAGGTCTGTAGACCAGAGGGGTCCCTGAAGGTCTTCCTGCCTTGGGGCCTTGGCCTTTGGCTGCAAGAGCCTGTCTACACTAGCCTGCTCTCTACCATCACGTAGCCTTGCTGTACACCTGCAGTGGGAAGATGTGGTTTTCACTGATTTGGAACCAGGATGGTTGCAAGGAAGCAGTTTGGGGGATGATGGTGGAGGCCCTGGTGAAGCAAAGCCCAGCCTTTCCGGGAGCTCAGATAAGGCTTGAGCATTGCATGGCAGTAGAACTCCAAGGGAAGGTGTCTGTGAAAAACTTTGTATGTGATGCCTAGCACATACCTTTGTTCTCCCAGGGCATGCTGCTCTGTCAGGGGTCAAAGGACATGACCTGCTCTGGTGGCATTACCCACCAGAAGCACACAGAGGTTTCCACAAGCACGAGAAGTAGCCAGGAAGAGACCATGGATGTAAGGGGAGGTGGCAGCAGTGGGCTAGGAGACAGTACTTACTTGAGGTGACTGGGAGGGACTTTGTAAACCAGAGTGTGAGTGTAGAAAAGCTCTGCAGAAGGAAGGCTTAGCATGGTGAAAGTCATGCCATTGACCGGCCAGCCACACAAGACACATCTTCAGCAGGGTTCCAGTAGCTAGAAGGCACCTACCAAGGTAGATAAGCTTAACAACTAGTCAGAACAAAGTTGAGGTTGTATGTTCTACACTAGCCTTCGGCCTCAGTACTCAGCGCTGGGAGAGCCTCCTGAGAGGCAGAAGCACTGGGATCTTCCTCATGGTTTGGCTGTCTGGCATGGGCTCTTGCAGTGCTGGGAGCCCAGATCTATACAAGCCCTTTGCTTTGTCATATATTGTCTTTGTTTTCCTTATTTATCTTGGGTCAGTGTTCCCTGAAGCTTTGCCAAAGCAAAGAGGTGTTGTCAGTAAGTCTGAATGACTTATTTCCTGGACACCTGACAGAAGTAGTTGGTGCTAGCACAAGGTCTTCTGCACTCCAGTGCATTGCATGGACTATGCATGTTTCAGGTCTGCTTGGTGGTGTTGTTTCTCTCAGCTCTAAACCAGCTGTTCTGCTCCAACTTCAGTTCCTGTGCTATTTCAGGTTGTAGACTGCCTGCATCCATAAGGAAGGCAGAAGCTGACCATTGAAATTAATTCAAAATTTGAATAAATACTCTTTTTTCTTACTATTTTTCCCATTTCTGTAATGTGTTGGTAAAGTATTATATGACCTCCATCTTTCTTTTGTTTTTTCTCATTTTCCTGTTCCTCCACCACTTGATATTAGAGTGCTGTATTACAATGAGGACAATAAATGATACTTGCAACTATGCAAGGCTGAGAGAGAGAAAAGGTCAGCCATTATCCTCACTTTGCCTAACACAGCCTTGGATTCTTATGTTCCAGTTCAGACAAGTCTACTTGTCTCAAACTGCTTCTAAATGAAAATATAACTGTTAAACTTACCTCAAACTCAAGAAAAAAGCCAGAGGCACACCAACCTGTCCTTGGAGAGATGCTGCCATATAGGACATCATATCAGTCATTTGTCTCATTTTTCCTTGTTCTGGAAGGCATTTGGGACAACATCTGCTCTGGCTCAAAAAGAACTTGCTCTGACTGGAATTTAGCATAGGCATTATACCTCTACTCCTATGCGTTCTGGAGCTTCCCTCACTGCTGCATTCTTTCCATCCTCTGTGAATGATGATTTCTAAAGCAACCAGGGTGACTGTATACAGCATCCCAAAAAGTCTCTTTTCTGAAAGCAGAGTTCCCTTCTGTTGCCTTCATCCCAATGAAAGTCATGAGCAATTGACACAGAGATTTATTTTATTTTTGTAGATTACTGACAAGTTTCTTTACTGCAAGGAGCAGCATTTTTTCTGTGCATTTAAAAACACAATATAGCAGTACTCAAATCCACTGATCAGCACAGGCAACCATGCATGGCCCTTGTATAAGCAGTGACACCTTTGTGTCACACTCAGTCTTGCAGAGCCGTGCATTTTCATTTTCCTGTACAGCTTCAGAAGTGTAAGCTAGAAAAACAACTGAAATCCCTCTGCTTTGAAAGGGAAACATTCACCAATGCATAGTCACAGAATCATACCTGTGAGATGCAGAAAATGTGAACTATCCCATCACACACCTGAAAGTGATAGAGACTTTGACAGCACCATTAGCACGAGCTGCTTTAGATATCAGCCTGGTATGAGTTGTGTTCCTCAGGGCATATAAGAGCAGATATGAAAAACTTGTATAGCTTGAAGACTGCAAATAGGGAGAAATTACTCATTGTATCTCTTGATTTAAAAAAATGTGATTATACCAAATACAGTTTTTATATGTAGGTTCACAGCAGAGGACAGTAGTTCTCACAGCATGCAGCTAAATGTACCCATATTGCCAGGAAATCCTGTTGATGCCAGAAGTATCTTAAGTTTGAAACAAGACTGGAAAAGTGAATAGAAGTGTCTAGGTGCTGTAAAATGCAAAGACAAGCTTGATATGACCTGATTTTAGGCAGCTTCTGTGTCTACTCACAGACACACTCTCCACACACTCTCTTGTCACAGCCAACAGAAAGAAACAGGAGTTTCCAGGGCATCACTCACTAGCTTATTTTGGACATCTGCGTTCAGAGAGGTGAATCACGTACTCCAAATCCATGGCTTCAGGGAGGAAGTGGTTTTCTTGTTCTCTTCCCTAGGTATCTCCTCTAGATGATGGCAGAAGACAGGGCATGGGTTTAGTCAAACCTTACAGCTGATCAGATTTCACTGCCATAGGTATGCCTGCTTCTCTCATCACCTGTCAGAAACGCTCTCAGGTAGGGAGGCATCTCCAGTGTAAGCACTGTGGAGTTAAACTCTAGTCTATACCATTGGCATTACTCTTCAGCCTACTTCTATTGTTGCTGCACTGGGTCAGGCGTGATCTGTTTCTGCATGCTTGGGAGCACGGTACATATTGCTTACTTCTTCAGGGGGTAAGAAATACAAAGTGTGATTGCATGGGTAATTCACAGAGCTCATTAGCCTCTGAGTCCACTGAAGGAGGGTAGAAAATAGAAATATGCCATTCCCTGAACATACTGCAACAGGCCTGTGTCTTTCTTGTACTGAGGACCCCAGAGCTGGATGCAGTATTCCAGATGGGGTCTTGCCATAGCAGGGTAGAGGGGAAGAATCTCCTCCTTTGTTCTGCTGCCCACATTGCTGGTGATACACACCCCAGGACATGACTGAACATATGGCTGGCTCATGTGAAGCTTCTTGTCCACCTACACTCCCAAGTCCTTCTTAGGGCTGATATCAGTCCATTTTCCACATGGCCTATATTTGTTCTTGGGATAACTCTGACCCCTTATGCTTCTGCTTTGCATCATAAAGCTTCAGTCAGACATATGGAGAGCACGATGTTTGTTTTCAGGAGCCAGAGATTTCATCCTTCCTGTGTCACAATGTGCAGGTCTCAGGAAATACAGTATGCCAGACCAGTTTGTCCTCCCAAATCCCAAATCCAAGGAAGAGCACATTCTCCTCCTCTGTGCAATTGCTCATACCACAGAGGAAATTCCTTGTGGAAAGCTCAGACAAATAAGTAGAAAGTAGAAAAATCGGCTCAACCCTTCAACAAGATAACTGCACAGTAGTATTCAGTGCTGTCATAAAACATACATACTGCTGCCAAGGGATGAGCATATCTTGGGCAAACTACATACAGCTGGAACAGAAGTTTTGCTATATCTGTTCATGCAACTGTTGGCCAGGGAAGAATAATCCCTCAGGAAGAGCCACGCCAGTGGTGTGGCCTTTACAAAGGTTTTCTAACACCTAATGATGTACAGGTAAATCCCATGTGTGAGTGCAGGGCATGGGAATACATAGCAGAAATTCCAGGTTGCACTGAACATTGTGTGGTCCTCCACAGGGCCCTACCTGGACCACTGCCGCCTTCTCACCTTGTTTCCCAGCCCAGGGTTACCAGGGCTTGACCATCTGTGTTTGCAATGCAACAAGTGAAAGGGAACGTGACCTGCCCCATTCAGATTGTCCCTCCTGCTGGAAGCACCAGCCTTGCCCAGATTTTTTTTGTCTCCTGTACTCCACTTGCCCTGACAGCAGCAGTGAGGTCCTTAGGAACACAAAGAGGACACAATTAAGAGGTCTTTCTCTTAATCTCTCCAGACTGTGTGACAGAATCTATGAGATCTGGAATAGGAATAACTCAAAGCAACTGTCTCTGTGTGGAAGTATTTCTCTTGAGCCCACTGCCTCCCTGTTTCACTACCTTACCTGGCACAGTCCCATTGCAGCTCCAGCACCCTTGTGAATCATTAACAGGGTAAGTTCAGCTGCACCTTTCACAGCTTGTCCTTTCACACAGTTTTCTTTCCCAGCTCCCAAATGTTTAATTCAAACAAGGTACAGAGAGAGAAGAGTAAAAAAGGTTTTATGTGAATCTGCATCTGATGACAACATGACAAGCAGCCAGCACAATAGTAGGAAAGTATGCCCTATCTTTGCACTCATGGTGGGCAAGCTTTGGGTCCTCTTTGCAACTTGTTTGTCCTTTGCTCTGGCACTCTACAGACATCCCTGTTCCTGCTCTTACAGGCGGCAGTCTTTTTTGGGGCTTGGAATTGGAGTTAAAAGTATCTCTCAGTCTCTTTCATTAACTTTCTGGACCTGTTCCTTTACTAGCAGCACCTGGTCACTCACACCCCTGGAATAAACTGCCATTTCCGTACTTTTTGCTGAGTGCAGGGTGGAGTTTTCTGGTTCTAGGCTGGTCAAAGTAGGCGGGCAGTGTAGAGCAGTCAGTCCTAGAGCTGAGATGTACATGAAGAGGACAGGAAAGGGCAGGCACGGGATGTAGGTGGCACGTGTGTACGAGACCCCAGCATGAAGGCAGAGCGCCTGTACATGAACGCACAGTTGTTCGTGTGACTGCCTGGAGGCGTGGGTACCACAGCGCTGAACGTGTGTGAGCGCAGCTTTGCTCGAGTCAGGTCTGGTGGTGCTTCAAGAGGACTTGTTAAGGTGAGATTTTCAATCATTTCTTGGTATCTAGCATGGATGTTCTTGATGCCAGCAAATTGTGAGAATTTTCTGCAGACAGAAGCTGTGGGTCTGGCTTAGAGGGTAGTTCCTGCTTCTCCAGACAGTCTTCTCAGTGCCCCTGCTCAGCTTTTGCCACTAGTGACAGTCATGCCAGCTGCTCACCTCTGAATGGGCAGATGACTTCTCATTCTGCATAAAGTGACCAGGTCAAATGGAAGCAGCATTCGAAAAAACTATGAGCAGCCATGAGTGCCATCAAAGATCAGTGACTGGAGCTTCTGTGGTGCCAGATCCTCTTTGCTATACTGCTGCCATTACAGCAATGGGGAACCTGCACATGTCTGGAGAGCTCCCTCAGACTGGCAGCACACTCAACATTAGTTTGCACATGAAATTAACTCAATCACTGATGATGGTGGATGTTTGTTAGGAAAATGTGATTAAACTAAGACCTTACTTCAGAAACATCATCTCCCATGATGGAGAAATACAGTGGTGAGAAATAAGGTTAGATAATTAGTATTTCTCTCATATTTGGGAATGTATGATAGTATGATGCTGCTCTTTCATTCCTCTTCATCAGGCACACAATTCATTTCAGTCCTTCTGCTCTCTGTGGAACAGACTTGTGACAGCAACAATTATCACTATTTCTATTGTGAGTGAAGAAGCTGTTGAAACTGTGGTCTCACATGAGGTAATTTCTATCAAAAGTAGTCACTCTGTGAAATGTCTAAAACATCCAGCTATCCCACCCTGATTTCATTCAAGATAAAAGTATACTCTTTGTTTCCTGAAAAAAAAAAACTGATTCCATTATCATATTCAGGGAATTCACATGTAGGTTTCCAAAGAAACAACTATTTCTGTGGTTTTAAATCTGCCTAGGTATCTACCTTCATGCCATTGTTCATGTCTTCTCAACAGAGTTTTTATCAATTAATAGCTTCTGGTTATATTCCAGGAACTCTGTCAGGAGTTAGAATAACAATATTAATGGTGCCAGATGGAAGTGATATCATCAACGTTCATTTGGAAGCCAGGACTTTTGATAAACAATTCTTGTATTCATTTGCAAGGAAGAAGCTGATATATCACTTATTTTTACAACAGTCATTGTTTGCAGCTTTTCCTAGGGTTGGTCCAGATAGCAGCATGATTCACCTCCTTGTCAGACCTGAACACTATAGACCATTTGTGTAACCAGAAAAAATAAGAGGGCTTCTTGACCAGGAGACAAGAATTATGTGGTCCCTCACTAAATGCACAGCCCCATCCTTGCAAGACATTACTAAAGTAAAATTCATATTGTGGTAGCACCTATTGGCAACCATCAGACTTACCCATTGGGCTAGGTATTTTCTTTACTCTGAGAAATTATAATTGCTGCCTTATAAACCCTAAGCTCGACACAAATGCACAGCAGGTAACTTAGACAAGTCGATTTATGCATGTATGTTGGAGGCTCAGATTAATACTGTTCCTCATTGGGTAGCAGCAGTACATGAAAATCGAAACCATCAGTACTAGAGGAACTGAAATCGTGGGAGGAGGTACCCCCTTGCAAATGAGTCTGAAAGCTTTGCTGCAGAGGAAAGTTGAGGCAGGGCATAAGGAGGATGTTAGGGAAACTCTGGGAACATCCATCATTGCTGTGGACCCCGATGACATGGCAAGCAGGTAGCAGGGAAGCAGTGTCTGCATTGCAGCTGGTTGAGTCATTTTATACCTCTGCTGCTTGAGTAGGGGGGCTGCTCCTCTGCATGGGCACAGCTGCTTGAGTCTTGTGCAATTGTGGACTGCACAAAAGGAGTGTACAAAGCTGTAAGGGCCTGGACTCTGATGCTGCTCTGTCCAAGATTAACATCTTGCCCTGAAGGCTCTGCTCTCTCTGTCCTGTTTTGTTGTGCATTTCCCTGGAAGGACTAGGAACCAGAAAAGTTTTTTCAATTTCAGTTCACCTTGGAAAACAAAAAGCATCTGCACTAGCAAGAGAGGTCTGTCTCCACTGTGGCACAGCTGAACTGCGAACCTGGCAGTAAAATTGCCAGGATCGTTTGCAGGGATTATGTACGTGAAGTACACATTTGTCTGTACCGATTTACTTCAGTGCACTCAACTAGCTTTTAAACTCTGATGAAAGTGCAGACAAGCTTTTCAGTGTCTTCTAAGACTATAATAGAATGGTTTACAAACAGTGGTTTTGCTGCAGAAAACCTTCAGCCCTGCAGTACTTATGTCCTTTGCAAAAACACCTTGTGTGGTGGTTGTCACAGTGTACAGCACTACACCAGTTGTCACAGTACTGCATTGGAAATGTGGCAGCTTTCCAACACCCTGTGCCTGCAGAGAGATGCACAGGAGCCTGATGCACCACATCCTGCTTTTTTCATCATCTTGTGATGCTGAACTTCCTCTGTCTCTGCAGGTCCCTTGCAATCATGGTGAAGTCTAGAAGAGTACAGGTGCTCCTGATTCTGGTAGTTCTGTCCTTCCTTCTGATCCACTTCCTACCCTGCAGCAACAATGCCCACATGGAAGAAAAACCTTCTCCTGTCCACATCCTCATTCTCTCCTCCTGGCGGTCAGGATCCTCCTTCACGGGACAAATCTTCAGCCAGCACCCCAGCGTTTTCTACCTGATGGAGCCTGCATGGCACGTTTGGGTTAAGATGTACCAGAACAGTGCCAAAGTCTTACACATGGCAGTGCGGGACTTAGTCAGGTCAGTCTTTCTGTGTGACATGTCTGTGTTTGATGCTTATATGTCTAGCCAGAAGAAAAAGTCTGATTTATTTCAGTGGGAGACAAGCCGAGCCTTGTGCTCCCCACCTGCCTGTGACTCATTCAGTCGCAGCGACATAATCACTGCAGGCAATTGCAAAACAATCTGTGGCAAGTACCCATTCAGCAAGGTGGAGGAAGCTTGTAAAACCTATAGCCACGTTGCCATCAAAGAAGTTCGGTTCTTCGACCTGAAAGTTCTCTATCCTCTTCTCACTGATCCATCCTTGAACCTCAAGATCATTCACTTGGTACGTGATCCTCGGGCTGTGTTCAGGTCCCGAGAGAATACAATGGCAGACCTGAAACGTGACACTAACATCGTTGTGGGGTCTCAGAAGACAAAGGGAGAAATGGGGCCCTACAACACAATGCAAGTAATCTGCAAAAGCCACGTTGAGATCTACAAGGCAGGAAGTCAGGCTGCTCCAAGCTTCCTGAAAGACCGGTATCTGCTGGTTCGCTATGAGGACATTGTCAGAGACCCGTTAGCAAGGGCTGCTCAGATGTACAGGTTTGCAGAACTCCATTTCACACCAGAGCTTCAGAAGTGGGTCCACAACATCACCCATGGGAAAGGTCATGGAGCACAGGCCTTTGATATTGGCTCGAGAGATGCACTGAGAGTATCCCAGGCATGGAGAAAGACACTTCCTTTCAAAAAAATAGAGAAGGTGCAAAATGTGTGCAAAGATGCAATGGATTTGCTGGGCTATCGGCTTGTTCAGTCTGAAGAAGAGCAGAAAAATATGTCTCTGGATCTTTTGTTTGCCCAGAACACCTCTGAGCATCAAATTTTGAAGGCAGAAAAGCTGGTCCCTACACTTACTCTCTGAAGTGCTGAACTAGAGCAAAAGAGGACAGAGGTACAGGCATAGAAGCGCAGGAGTGTGTGCATGGATGCAAGGGCAAGTGGTACAAGAACCCTGACTACATTCAGGAGAGCTCTCAGAAGCACACGGTCACTCTCCAAGACCCCTGGGGATTCAGCCACAATGGAGGCTAAAGTAATGCAAGTCTGTTTTCCAAATTAATTGTTTAGGTTGGAGCATACAGAATGCCAAAGGAGTAGGACCAAATAACAGAAGCTCAAACCCCCCACAGACCACAGCTGAAGACTAGGGAAACCACATAGAGCAATTGCACTTCAAAGATGAAATATAAAAGGAAGCTGAATGAAGAAAACATTACTTGACATGCTGCCATGCAGGATACGTAGTGCCAGAAAAAAACGCGAGGATGACTGGACATTTGGTTTCTGGAAAGATGTTGGGTTTTGTGGGTTGTTTTTTGAATGGTTGAGTTTTCAAATCCAGTTTTCCTTTTGCTCCACTCGTGTGCCTGAGTATCCAGCCTTGGTGGCAAAGGTGGGGAAATGTTTGTGTTCACTTACTGTATAGTGGGAAAATGGAATAAACCAGCTATTACTGAAAATAAAAACTCCTCGGCTTTCATGTGGGAAACCATTTCTGGGATTGTGTGAACCCATTTATTTTGTAGCTGAAATAATTCTGTCTTCCTGCTTTCAAACCCAAGAACAGTTGTTTTCCTGGGAATTCCCACAGTCCACATGGGTGGCAGAAGAATTCACGCTAAGGTTGAAATCCTAAAGACAAGGTAAAGACACAAATTTCATTGGCATATATACTGAAACTGAGAAGATAGGTTAATGGGAGTGGATTGAAGAAAACAATAGATCAGGAAGTTATCCTATTGAAATATTTCGTGAGAGTATTTCTTGTCTTGGAGCACAAAAAAAAATATATTTAATGGACTATGCCATTCTCCACTGTCTCCATTGGAGATGCCATTCTCCCACCTCCAATGGGAATATAGAGTTCAAACCTGAACAACAGAATTGTTTTCACCTGGTTTTAAGTGTTCCAGAAGACACTGAGAAAAACTTGCTACCAGATTTGGGGAGGAGTGAAATGCCTACAGATAGCTATTTCTGAACAACTTCTTTCACGTGTAAGCTGCAGAGTCCCTTTAACAGGTGTCTACAGAACACTACCAATGCTACCTTAGCAATATGAGTATCTGTATTCCTAGAGCTAAACCCCTAGGCTCTGAAAAGGGCAGGATATTGTATTATGGAAATCATAGTCTTATTTCTAGGGATCTTGTTGAAAGACAAAATCCATGCTGAGCAGGCAACACTGGCATCATGGTACTAAGTTCACTGAAAGCAAGGTATCTTCCTTTACACTGTGTTTATGCAAATTTAGGGCAGGCAAGCTGACAAAGGGAAGTGGGAGTTGCACTGTGCCAGTGCAACCGTTACCCTTTACAGTCCCTTTAAAATAGACCTTAATATATTCAGTTAAAGGAAGCTAAAAGCCCATTCTTAATGAAACTGTAGTAAAGAGCTTCCTCCTATAAGTGCCAAGAAGCTGGATTCCGAGCAAAAATAGATTCTTTTCAGAACACTGCTAGTTATCTCATTAACCAATGTCAGCTTGAGTGGCTTAAGTTTTACTATGAATCCTTGTTTTCAGTGGATGCAATCAATTCTGTGTATCAAGTGTTTACCTGAATAAAAACTTTCAGTGTTTCCAGTCAGTAAAAAAATGATGTATGAAAAAAAGTAACATACGATGCATTTCCCTAATGTACTGTTTGGAAAATTACTTTCATTTCTGCCTCCTAAGCTTAATCAGAGAAAATGCAGGATTGTTGATTTCAGTATATCTTTATTACAGTCCTTTAGGTATGTTTTCTCAATACAACAATTTGTAAAAATTGGAAACAGCAAAGTCTGCTGCCAGTCTGGTCACATGAAAATTTAAAGCTATCTTAATGTGATTAGCAAAGATAACTTAAAATACTTTTTGGAGGAGGAAAAAGAAAACTCAACAAAACCCCCTCCAAAATGTCAAGATGTTGATGATGACATGTAGAACTATGACTATGTCCTTTGGCATATGCAATAAAGATCACAGAAGTCTGTTTAGAAACAAACATTAAGTTTACATTGAACAAATTTAGAAGAGACAACTTTATATCAATGAAATGTAAGATGGAGAAGTCTCCAGTCAAAAGGAAATTTAAAAGCTGAGTCTGGTATTCCTGTTGCTCTTCAAACTGGTGCATACCAGTTTTCCTTAGTAACTCTAGTCGTGAGAGCACAGAAATTAATTGATTTTGATGAATGCTGGCTAACTCTAAAAGGAAGCAAATAGGAAATACCCAATTTCCAGACGATAGTTTGCAGACCCAGAACCTCTGGCTGTAGAATTGTCTTTAACTCAAAGTTCTTGTATGTGCATTGCCACTTTGCTCACTTTTCCAGGTATACAAATATGACTGCTCCAGGCAATACTAGAAAGAAACTTCTTTGAGCTACAAAAAGAACCTTCCTGACCTTTTGTGATAGTACAGAAACCTGATACGAATATGGAAACCCAAACTGTCTCCAGCATGTTGAAAGGAAGATAACTGTGTTGTAGGTAAGACAAAGCACAGAAAACGAGGATTTTTATCATGGGAAAAGATAGAACCAGAAGTAGAACCATATGATAAGGTGTCATCTCTGGGTCCTCCAGGTTTTACCCTGGTAAAGGACACCTAGACCTACGTGCAAGTCAATCTGTGGATAAGCAGTGCCTTTCAGGAGTTTGTAACAGATGAAAGAGGGCAACCTTGAGTGAACTGTGGTCTTTCCTACACCTACGGAGTGCACCAAGCACAAATGGAGATTCCCAGCGTTAGACAATGCGTCCACATGGCTCTACAAAGGCAGAAACACGGTGTGTGGACTCAGAAGTTGGCACTCCACCTCAGACTAACTGCCCCAGTAAGACAACCTCACTCTTAAAATAAATGTTACTTAGAATTATAAAAGGTAGAGTAAATCTGACAATTTCATATTGCAGCTATTTAATGTGTTCTACCTCTCACTCTGAATTTTAGAGCAGTTTTGCTAAACAAGACCATTGCAACACTATGGTGCTGCTGAGATGTGTACACAGTCCAAGCTAGAAGGGGAATTTTCAGCTGTGAGAGGTGACAGCTGTTCATGAACCTGGTCATCAGCAATCTTGGATATCAAACCAAGCTGGTAACATTTCTAATAAAAAAAAAAATTATTACTTTATTTGCTATGTTGTCTTGCACTCTCTCATTAAGTGCTTGTCTGGCTTCCACATGAATCTCAAATAACTGTTCAAAGTCTGAATAGCATGACTATGTCAAATAATTCTCACTTTTCCAGTCCAGTGGAACACTGCATAGTGCTGTTTTAGCATTTATTTGGCTATGTTGATTAACTCCTCAAATAATCAGTAGGTGTTGCAGTGGCTTCCTAAAACAGTAGTCTCATTATATAGGTTTTATTTTCAGTATAATTTTAATTTGGCTTAACATCAGCCATTTCCCAATTCACCTTCATTTACTGAGTGCCACAGTGCAATATGCTAAAAACCCAAAATGTTAACTCTTTAGAGAGGTTTAAAAAAAAAAAAATCTTCGTCTTTACCAGGCTATTTTATTTCACCAAAAGAAGGAATTCCAGATTTTGAGAACTCACTTCAAATAATATTAAAATAAGGGCCCAGAGCACAATTCCAGGCTAAAAGTACTGAGTTTTTCAGATTATGATTGTATCCGAGCAATGGTGTTCTTTGTCAACCACAAGTGAGGTGACAGATACATAACCTCTGATCATTCTCTCTTAACTTTCATTTCCTACTTCAGCTATTACTTATAGCCCTGAAAGCTGGTGTACTTTTCCCAACTAGAATATACAGCCTGGTACAAGCGTTACTTTGTTTGGATTAAAGCAGCTGCATCTCTTAGATCTGCAGAAATGCAAAATAGGCCTTTTAATATGAAAAAATTAAAGCATCTCTGAAACTTCAGAACTTTGATCAAATTTTCCCTCGTGTTTCTGAAATGACTATTAGACTCATGCAACTGTACTGGGTCAGTAACGTCCTCTTGTTAACACTCTCTAAACACTATCCGCTTTGCTACATTTTCAACTCCAAATTTGGCTATCAATTTATTTCTGACATGTTCATCATCCTTCTGCAACTCTAAATCATCCTCTCTGCTCCATACAGGGTACCCATCCAAGCGCTGCCCTGTCTGCAGGAAGTGTGAAGTAGCCTCCACATCGCCACTGTTTTTCAGAAAGGCCTGTGTAACAGTGAACAGGTCCACAGCAAACTTCTCCATGAAGTGCTCCATAGTTCTTACTACCTGTCCCACCACACTGGAAGAACAGGTGCTTTTTGGTCTTTCTTGACTTTGTAACTGAGTATCAGGGAAAGCAGAGTCCTCTGGCCCGGTTTTCAGATCAGATGCTGTTTCTCCTGGGGACCTTCCCACTCCATCTTGTGTAGAAAGTTCTGCAACATCTGAAGAGTCACTTTCTGACTAACAGTAAGAGAAGTGGAATCAGCAATTAGACACGGTATTTTTTGAGAAATCTTTTACCACTGCCACCAACCACCTTTTACTCTTACTCTACAGTATATTAAAATATATAATATATATCAGAAATTACTAGGCATAGTACAAGTTAGTGACTGAGCAAAGCCATGTGTTAATGAGACTGCACATGATCACAAAAATGCATGAACTATAAGGACAAATTTGAACAAACTAAGCATAAAAGGCGAAAGCGTTGATGCGACGGCAGCAACGTTTTCTGCCTGAGGTGAAAGAATGACTTCCGTTTACCAGTACAGCTTTTAACGTGACAACCCCCATCATATAAACTTCTTCGTGTTACCTTGGACAGGGAATCAAGAAAAAATGAACCAGTGAGGCGCCATTTATCGCAAACCGCGTAGGTGACAGCTCACAGGAAGCTCCAGTTTAGCTACAGCAGAAGATATCGCGGTGCAAACTCATTTCATGTGTTAATCGTGAGTTTCTATTGTGCCATCTGTGATAGCGGGGAAGGCCTGCCCCAAGCTGCGGCTCCCCAGGCTGGCCTCGGTCGCTCACCTCCGTGCTTTCGAACTCCCGATTAGCTGCCGCGAACAGGCCTCTGATCTGCGTGGGATCATCCGTCTGCGGGGGCTCTGCGGAAACACGCGGGCATCGTCTGCCGGGCCTCAGCGGGGCCCGCACCCCCGCTCGTCGCCGCCACCACGCTCCCTCGCAGCCCTGCCCCGCCGTTGAGGTCCCCGCTCACCCCAGAGCCGCGGCCGCAGGTGCCGCAGGTAGCGATCACGCATGGCCTGCCAGCTGTGCCGCGTCAGGCCGCTCCGCTCCAGCTCCATCCACAGCGCACAGCCGCTCACCCGCACCGTGCCCTGGCCGCGCACGGCCCGGAGCAGCGCCGCATCCTCCGCCTCTGTGAAGGCCAGGCGGCCGCGGGCGCCCAGCAGAAAGGGCTCCAGCGGCAGCCGCTGGCTGCGCTCCACGCACTCGGTCACGTACTCGGTTGAGACGGCCCCGTCGGGAGCCGCTTCGCCGGGCTGCGCCAGGAGCACGGCCCCCGGCTCCTGCACCCGGCACAACCGTCCGCCGCCCGCCAGCACTAGGGGCGCCAGGCGCAGCTTGGCCAGGCCGGGACGTAGGTAGAACCGCATAGGACGCCCATCATCCCACAGGAACAGCGATCGAGACCGCGCTGCCCCGGCCTGGCTGCCCGCCATCGCCGGCCCAGCTCCGCCCGCCGCCATTGCCGCGTGCGCAGGCGCACAAGGGCGGTGGCGGCAGCGGGGAGATGGCGGCAGCGGCGGCGCGCGAGTGCGACGCGGCGGAGATTGAGTCTCACCTCAGCAAAAAGTGAGGGTGGGCGGGTGGTCAGGTGGGGCTGGGCCGGGGAGGTGAAGGTGGAGTGTGTCCAGCTGACCCGCTGCGTGTCTCCGTCAAGGCGCCCGTCGGAGCGCCATGCTGAGCCCCGGCGCCGCGCGGCTCCGCAGCTGGGTCTGGAGGGCCGCGCCCGCGCTCCGATGGCAGCAGGCGCTTCATGACCAAAGCAGGTCGGTGCTTTGCGTCTGCCTGGGCCCGCTTCTTTCCCTATGGAGTCGTGCAAGGCGGGGTCAGAAGCGCGGCGGGAGGCCGACGGTCGGGGGGGAATAGACTGGACGGAACCCTTCGTTACTTGGGAGGGAGGTTGCCTTTTTTCACTTACGCTGCCTAGGGCTGATACTCTTACGGATAGAATGGAGTGCATCAAGTCCTTGAGCACGTAGGCGCGCGCCCTCAAGGTCTGTCTAAACTATGTTTAATTTCGCTTTCATTTTCTCTCTGTATCATAGGGGATGAACTGAAGAAGTTCAACGTAGAGAATATTTAAAAGTGTTTAAGAATTATTTTGACTATTGGGAAAAGTAGGAGAGGTGACCGGGTTATTTATAGTTAGATTTTGGTAGAATCCTGCCAGTTGTTTCCCTGTAGAAGTATCCGAGTACTTGTTGCATCCGGTTTCCTTCTCTTTTGCAGTGAGCTGAAGAGACGTCTAAAGGCTGAGAGAAAAACAGCTGAAAAAGAAGCAAAGCAAAAAGAGCAAAGTGAAAAGCATTCAAATAAGCCTTCTGTGACTTCTGAAGATAATGTTGGTACTGATGAGGAGAGCTTGGATCCAAATGTAAGCATCTGATCCCATGCTTATTAGATGTTCCGTGAATAAATCTTACTGTCTTGCATTAGATTTTTTTTATTCGTGGATAATTAAATTGTTAAAAGGGGAGAGATGTATATTGCTACATTAGGGCAGCTGCATTTTAATTCACATATTGAATATTTTCAGATTCTAATAAAATCCTTTGATTTTGTTTATTTCTGGTGACAGCAATACTACAAGATCCGTAGCCATGCAGTCCAACAGCTTAAGGGCTCCAATGAAGATCCCTATCCCCACAAGTTCCATGTTGACTTATCTCTCTCAGATTTTATAGACAAGTACAGTCACCTGCAGCCAGGAGATCACCTGACAAACATTAAAGTGAGAGTGGCAGGTAAAAGTTTACCTGGGATACAGAAAAATGCAAAGTCTTAACTGCTTTTATTGATGGGTTAGCCTTTTTTGAGTTTTGTTGATCTCTTACTCATTTGTGAAGCCTTGCAGCAGTGTTAAACTATTCAGGATGTACTTCTCAGACTGAGTGGGCCTGTGCAACATCCCTTGCAACTATAAGATCAGATTGTAACATGGGTTCCAGGACCCAAAGTTTTTATGGTCTTTTTTGCACTAGTTTTCATTTTGAGACTTAACTGCTTCTCTTTCATGGTTAGTAAATAGTGCAGAGCTGATGATTCTAAGTGATAGTACTGTGGCTTTTGCCCCTGTATCCTTTCTGCGAGGGATTCTTTTCCTGTTGTCTAGCATACTTTGTTATTTAGGTCGAATCCACGCAAAGCGTGCTGCTGGAGGGAAACTGATTTTCTATGATCTTCGTGGTGAAGGAGTCAAGTTGCAGGTCATGGCAAATTCCAGGTAAGTAGAGGTATTGCCAGTAGCATTTTAAACTGCACTGCATTCTGGGGGTCTAGATACCTGTATTTGTATATTGTGTTTCATCTGTGGTTTGGCTTAGGTAGCCAAGTAATGTTTGGCTTCAGATGTTGTGGTTGACTTCCTGTTAAAATAGCTTTTTTATATATATATATATATATATATATATGTTTAAATGGATTTTGTCATGTGAGACACTTGAGGACAGTTTGGAATATTGAATTTTGAATTTTAAACAAACGTGCTTACATTTGTTTTTCAATTCCAGCCTCTACAAATCCGAGGAAGAATATTTCCGTGTTAACAGCAAGCTCCGTCGTGGAGACATTATTGGTGTAGAGGGGAATCCTGGGAAAACAAAGAAAGGGGAACTGAGTATTATTCCTTACGAAATCACTCTCTTGTCTCCATGCCTGCACATGTTGCCTCATCTTCATTTTGGCCTCAAAGATAAGGTATTTGTCATACCTGTCAGTCTTGGAGGCAGTTTGACAGATCATAGAAAGGTTTGGGTTGGAAGGGACCTTCAAGGTAATTTAGTTCCAACACCCCTATCATGGACAAGAATGCCACAGATAGGTCTGAATAGATAGTGTTTGTTTCAGTCAACATCAGTCAACAAAGGAATAACAGTTTTGTTTTTGTATTTTTTCCTTTG